AAATTCTTTGTTAAATTTGTTTACAGGCTTGTAATACTTGTAATTGGTTACTGGCCACATCTGCTGAGAAAGCATAAATTATTCCTTAAGCTATACCTATACTCCATTTACTATAGAATTAGAAAAAAGAGGCTCGCAGAAGCAGGAGTACGAAATGTTTTATTTTGAAGTGAAGTTCGAACAATTTTAACAGATAATGTATGTGATTTTAATGTCAGTGTATGACTTCTATGTATGGCAAAGTGTATTCTATCTATCTATGTACTCGTCACGATGCTTGGATAGATACATGAAGTAAAAAAAAAATTGCAATCAGTTTATTAAAAACAACTTCATCATACCTATTATGATTAAAACAATCCAAGTAAATACGACACAAAACATACTTAACAATTTAGTCACTGCTACCACCAGTATATTTAACTGACATAGGCGTTAACAAAAGTAATAATTTCATCTATAGGTAATCGTTATTTTGAAAGCAAAAGAAACTTCATAGCAATTTGGAACACAATAAAATTGAATTTTGTTCTATGCTCACGCGCTATACGCCCACTGCTGAACAAATGCCTCTTCTCATACGGAGAAGGTTAGAGCATTAATCACTAAGCTTACTCAATGCGGGTTGGCGATTTCAAACTTAAAATTAGAAATTATAAGTCCAGGTTTCCTCACGATGTTTACCTTCACCGTATGTCAGTAGTGTCTATATACCGTATGTCAGTAGTGTCTATATACATATATAGGTAATTATAATCATAGAAAGTACATATAACTCGGAAAAAGTAACATTGGTACTTCCCAGGTTACGCACCCACACTCTCGTGCATGAGAAGCGGGCTTAACCTCCGGACCACCACGACCGGACGACCGGCTCCATCATAGTTGCACATAATAACAATGGGTTAACCAAACCAAAACACATTTTAATCCCTATAGAAGTGTACAAAGATGCGCTTTTACAATGCATCACCAATTTATCACTTATAAAACCGAACAATAACAGTCGAAACCAGCTTAATCTAATACACCATCGTTATAACAGTAACCATAAGCTACCAACCCCTTGGAATCTCATTATCTTCACGGGGCGCATCGCAAATTACTGTAACTGATACTCGACCATTAGGGGGTCGATTCTGTATATTTTGAGCGCCCACCTCGACAACAGAAAATTAAACGGGACGTTGACATGATAGAATTATTATATTTTAGTTTGTCTATTTAGGGAGATGCGATTGAGATGGTCCGATTATTGTAATTTGATTTTGTTCTTTTTTTTCTGAGGGGGAATGTCATGAAATGTGTCCTGTCATAGGTCCCAGAGGTTCGGACTCCTATGGACTAAAAATCATACCGTTCCTTTTTTCTTTTTGCGGTTTCACCTGCAACTTCTTGTGATGTTTTTCCGTAAAACAAAATTTTATTGGCCCGGATTTAAAAATGAGTATAATCCCTAGTTTATATTGGGAAGTATTAGGATTGATTTTACATGATTACGTTTGTTTTTAATATAAAACTCTCTACACACAAGACGGGCAATGAAATATTTATGGCAAAAATCATGTCATTTCAGTTCGGACAGTTTGTACATGAGATCTTACTTATTAAAATAAATAATTGTATCAGATTTTGGAATATCCCGCTTAATTATTTTAGTGGCAAAATTGAACCTTAATTACATATAGATCTTTTAGCCGTTGTTGCGTATTTAGCGTAATAAGATACCGCGGACTCCGCCTGGAGCAGGAGAAGGAACAGGGTATTTTAGTCAGTAACTAGTCTGATACTCCCTCCTGCCCGGACCGGGGGGGAGAGAAGACGTGTGATGATTTTCCCTCCTCAAAACAACTCATTAAATTACACCTACAACATTCATAACCACCTTATCTTTTTTAGAACTGACTAGCTATTCCCGCGCACTTTCACCCGCTGCTCTTCTCCATTTAATTGTAGCGTGATGTTTTATAGCCTATAGCACTCAGGAACATTGTAGCTACAGCTACAATGTGAAAGAATTTTGGCAATCCGACCAGCGGTTCCAAAGATTACCCCCTACATACAAACTTACAAATTTTACCTCTTTATAATATTAGTATAGATAAGTATAGATAAACATGATCGTTATTTTTTAATAGAAATCAATACAGACTTGTAACAAAACATTTCATCAAATCATTGTCGTTGCCATGACAACCAATCAACAGCCTGGGGGTGGTCACAAACATGGCTATCGGAGTATTTGCGCAGGCGCACATGTGCAAGCACATCCGGTACCTAAACCAATACATTTGAACTTCTAAACAAATAAAAATGCATCCACCGGGATCTTTGCCAATTTTTTTGCTTCAGCCATAGTGTCAAGTTTATGTCAGCGGATTTAGAAAGTGCAATGTTTAAAATGTGTTTTTAGCTTTCAAAAAAGCTGAGCAAAGATCCCTTCTCAGGCGGAGAAGGTTCACCGCGCTTGCTCAAGAGGAATTGGCGATTTCAAACTTTTATATTAAGAGAAATTTCAAGTCCAGGTTTCTTCACGATGTTTCCCTTTACCGTATGTCAGTTGTGCTTAAATAATCATACTTAGAAAGTATCTACATATAACTTGGAAAAAGGTACATTGGTACATTGGCCGGGTTTCAAACCCGCACCCTCGTGCATGATAAGCGCCTTAACCTCCAGGCCACCACGACAGATTGATATAATATTTCAAGGACAAGGTAATCTTGTTTTGAACTTTAAAACATATTTATAAGTAATATCATCTAATAGTATGTATGTAGTTTGTAAGTGACCAAAAATGTTGAGGAGTACAATTTTTTATTCATTACTTTGATAAACAAATGACTGTCGCATTCCTTTGGTGTAAGCAGATTAGTACTAATGTCACTGTCACTATAGTAAGACATAGCAAATTCCTGAAAATAAAGACTTACCCATGAGACGGGACCAGTGCCGGCGTAAGGGCCACTGACGACCCCGGGCGAAACTATACTGGCGCCCACTTCAGGGAAGCAATATCAAGTGTTCGTTTTTTGCTGATCGTATTGATATCGTTAGAGTTACTCCTCGACCAAAAAACTTCAAAAAATCCATCTAAAAAAATTCCATAAAAAATGTGCATATGCACAGAGCGTAGAGCACAGTTCTAAGGGTTTGCTCCAAGTAAGGCAAGAGACCCTAACTTCTTCAGGTCTTGGCGCCCTCCAGAATTTGTCGCCCTGGGCCATCGCCCCATCACGCCGGCACTGGGTGCGACTCTTAGCCATGCGCAGCGTGCGACAGGTAGTACGGTCATGAGTAAGAGTCCCGTAGTGTCTTGAAACTAGTAGAACTTTATAGCAGGAAAAGGAACGGGAGAGTTTTTAGTCTATTATCTTTTAATCAGTAAGAGTACCTATGACACTGCAAATCATTTGAATATTTTCCCCTCACAAAAAACTAGTAAAACTTTTCTCATTGAATTCACATATCATATCACATAAGTCGTTGTTTTCCATAAACTCTTCTATAGCACAGTATAAATATCATACAGTATTGTAACTCGGCCGCTTGAAAGAAATAAATACCTACAGCCGCGCGGTACGTAAACATGCGTTAGGGCTGCTCGTCTCCAGTATTTTAATTACCTTTGTCTACTTTCTGTTTCCATTTAGTTTTGTGATTGTAAATATCCTTTTTTTATATAAACAAATAAAGTGCTTTAAAAATAAACAAACAAAATTTCTTTGGCCACTAATGCCGAACTGAACAGCTGACTACGAATGTTCTAAAATCACATCCCTCAAACATCAAAATATTACATGAGTCTAGCTGTTTTATTGTTGTTATTAAATATTTTCTAGTATTATTCATAAACGCAGATAATAAACAAATATTATTAATAATAAAATACCACACTCTCTACTTTGAATTATACAAACTAACAAAACATACATGAACCGTTTTAACACAAGCGTAAGTAGGTAGGTACCTAACGTATCATGATTCATTCAGAACCAGAACCACCTATAACTACCTATTTCACTCGTCTCAATAACTTTATTCATATTATTTATAAATTCAAACTTCTGTTTTCGTGAGATAACTGGAAATAATGATCCATAAAGACACACATTATGTACCTAGTTACCTACCTAGGCTACTAGTAAGTAAAATTATTTTATGGTCTTACCTCTCAGAGTTTCCAGGTAATTTAAAAAAAACTTATGTCTGGATGCATTATTGACGAATTCATGCAACCAAACATAATAACAGCACAATATTTCCTATTCGTCATATTAAATAATGTACTCGAGCTGATTTCTAAATAAAAGACAACACACCGTCCGTTCGTCACTGCGGTACAGCCGCGTCTGTCTGCGTCCCGAGCGCGTCCCGACATCGGGCGCGTAGGTATAGTTCGCGTTTCGGCCGTTTCTATGAAGTTGAAATACTTGTAGATATTATTACCTTGTCTATAGTCTGTCGTCTCAGGTAATCAACTAAATGTAAACAATCTGGGCATGGCTTTTTATATAAAACTTACTTGTAAAAATTGAATGTAAAAATCAGGTACCTACATAGCAAATCTTCTTCAATTTATTCTTATTCCGAGTTACATCCGTGAGTTTAATGTTGCTGAATATTGTTTGTAATTAATTATTTTCTCCGTGGGAGAAGAGACCTTTGCTCAGTAGTGGGCACTTTTAGGCTGATAAGTGATTATGTAGCTTTGACGTAATAATTTGTGACATAAACATTGTTGAATTATTGTATAAAATACACAATATGATGGGGTTTGATGAATTAATTTAATACTTACTACCTACTCGAACATAATTTAGGTAGGTACAATATCTAATTCATGCTCATTTACGTATAATATTATTATTGAAATGCTTGTAAAAACCTGCTGCTATATGTAAGGTACTTTATCATAACGTAACACCAACATTGTAGGTACACTTAGGTTAGCAATAATTAATGTTATGAACTTGACCTTGACTTATTTCTGTCCCCAGGTGTTACAACAGGCTGGTAACATCGAGCGACTCGGCCGGTTCCTCTGGTCGCTGCCGGCGTGTGAACGACTCCATGCTCATGAATCAGTCCTTAAAGCAAAGGCTATGGTGGCCTTCCACAGAGGGAACTTTAAGGAGCTGTATAGACTGCTGGAGTCACACACCTTCAGTCCTCACAATCATCCTAAGCTGCAGAGCTTATGGCTTAAAGGTGAGATTTATTGGAGTGTTATTAAAAACTAATTCTGCAAGGTTACCGTAGTGAGGACAAGTGACTGCTTCACAGCTTGTCGCATGCTGAATTTTCGTACGGAACAAGCTTATTTCAGGTTTAATTGTGATGTAAATTTTATAAAATGAAAATAAAAAACATTTATTACAATAAGACCTACTACGAAATTAACCGGTGCTTTCGAAATTAAAAAAAATGTTTCGTTATAAAAGAAAAAATAATCTGTCAGTTTTCCCGCCAATTATGAAGATAGGTGCTCATTCGAAAATGTAGATTTGAATAAAGAAGAACGAGCACCGAAAACCAAAAAGTAATGACAATCTCTTTTTAATAAAAAAAAACTGCCACTAACTAGTTCTAAAACCATACTTTATAGCCACTATACGTTGTTTTACAAATATCACAGTGGACCAACAAGATAATCTTGCTGTGAATTAACAAGAATGACAATGCAAATAATTTTCTTCGCTTTGGCGCATTCTTGGATGTCAGTTCAAATCCCAAAGGAATTCTGATAATTCTGATAAGTGGGCACTGTAAAAAAACAATTATTGTTAATAATCTTCAATTATTAATTGATCCAGCACACTATATGGAAGCGGAGAGGTTACGAGGCAGGCCGCTGGGTGCCGTCGGCAAGTACCGCGTGAGACGCAAGTTCCCTCTGCCTCGAACCATCTGGGATGGAGAGGAAACTTCATATTGTTTTAAAGTGAGTATTTTATTTAGATACTGGCTTTCCACGATTGCAGTGGTGATGCGAAATTTCTCTACTATGTAATTGATTTTGTTATACATATAGGTAAAGCGATCTCAATCACTCTATCTATTAAAAGAAACCGCATCAAAATCCGTTGCGTAATTATAAAGATTTAAGCAAACATAGGGATATACTAAGTATGGGAGCGCCATGCTTCGACACGACACGAATGGGTCGGCTCGACCGGAGTACACCTCACAGAAAACGGGCGTGAAGTAACCACATCGTTGTGTTTCGCCGTGTGAGTGAGGTTACCGGAGGCCAAATCCTTTTCCTCTCCCAATCCCTAATTCTCCAAATCTCCAAATACCTAGTCCCCAAAGAGTGGGCAACGCACTCGTAGCTCCTCTGTTGTTGCGGTTGTCCATGGGCGGCTGATTGCTTACCATTAGGCAAGCCGACAGCTCACTTCCCATCCTATCATAGAAAAAAATCAGTCCAGGATATGATGAAATAATAATTAAAAACAGATTTTCTTTTCAATATACGACTATTAAACGAATTCCATTTCAATCAAAAGTATGAAATGAAGTCTATACAATTTTAAGACTAAAAAAAGGTCTTTAACCAAGCGAATCTGAATCAATAACGTTTCCAATTATTGTATATTAATTTACATAAGGAAAGTTAAGGTATATTTTGATATCTTTATACTCACATAATAAAAGAAAAGGCTTTATAATTATTATTTTGTTTAGCTAATGAATCAGGTATGTAAAGCCGGGGCTACGGGGCAAAGGCAAAGTGGCCCGCGGCCTCGGCCTAAAGCAGGAGAAGGAACGGGGGTTTTTAGTTAGTAAGAGTCTGACACTCTCTCTCACCTCATCCTGGACGGGAGAAATTTGATTGATTTCATCATCATCATCATCATCATCATCAGCCGGAAAACGTCCACAGCTGGACAAAGGCCCCCTCCTTAGCCCTCCACGTCGAACGACAATCCATTGGCTCCTTGCGACCACCTAGCGGGAGGCCTGTCCTAGTGCTTACACTACGTTTTCCGGTCCTTGGCCTAGCACTTTTCGGGCCCATCGGCCGTTCGTCCTTCGAGTGACGTGGCTTGCCCATTGCCACTTTACCCTGTAGATTTTACGAACTATGTCGGTGACTTTGGTTCTTTGGCGAATTTTCGAATTTTGTCGCGCAAAGACCCCCCGAGTATAGCCCGTTCCATCGCGCGCTGAGCGGCTCTGGCCTTTCTAAGAAGGCCAGAAGTTAAGGACCACGTCTCGGTACCATACGTCATCGTGATTTTCACATCATGATGATTTAACCCTACCAAAAAAAGGTGTGTAAGTCAAACGTATGTCCTTTGTTTAGGAAAAATCCCGGTCAGTGCTTCGTGACTGGTATCTGCACAACCCTTACCCCTCGCCTAGAGAGAAGAGGGAGCTAGCGGAAACCACAGGACTCACCACTGTACAAGTAAGTTTTAAGAGTTACAAAGTTATCTTATAACTTATTAATATTATATTATCTTACTAATATTATAAATGCGAAAGTTACGGTGGTTGGATGTTTGTTACTCAATCACGCCAAAACGATCCAAAATGATCCAAGACCTTACTTCATAGGATCATTCCTATAGTAAGCTCTTCTCGAGACTGTCACTAATATTATAAATGCGAAAGTTACGATGTTTGGATGTTTGTTACTCAATCACATCACACGCCAAAACGGCTGGACGGATCTGGATGATTTTGGTACAGGCATAGGATACACTCCGGAATAGGACATAGGCTTCTTTTATCAACATACGGGCGAAGCCGTGGGCGAAAGTTAGTAGAACCGTGAAATACAGATAACTTTTTTCTTGAATGCAATTAGTGAAATTCTTGAACTTTCGAAGGATGATTATGAACTAGCTCCAGCGTTGCTCAGCTTTCTTGTGGCGGGATGTTTTAACGTATAGCATTCCTTGACAAATTTAATGGTCTTGCCAACCCAAAAAACAGTTGACTTAGAAATTTTAGTTTTAAAGATTAAACAAATTCTACTCCTTATTAATACCATTATAGATAACTTACTTTCGCCCTTGTGGGTTGTTGACAAAAAGCAGCCTGTTTGTCAATCCAGAGTACCAAATATACATATATTGAATATATACATACCAAATATCAACCAAATCAGGCCAGCCATTTTTGAGTGAGAGTCTAACAAACGTACCTAGATCCATACATTCTTAAAAACTTTCACATCTATAATATTAGTAGGTTTACTGAACTGAAGACTGTATTCTTTATCACTCTACCCATATCTTTAAGGCTAATAAGCGTGAAGATATAGGTACTTATTATAAATAAAAAAAAGCTGTATTCTTCATCGGGCAGTGCATGACTCGTTCGAACGGTCAGTTGTGGTTGACGGGAACTTGACACTGTTTCCTCAAACTATAAGGATTGAATTACTTCTTGCGTCTATGTATTATTATACATATGTATATACATGTAGGTACTATGTATTAATCATCATAGCATGTATGTAAATTTCTTGATAGCTCGTAGTCGTCGTGAATACTAAAGAAAAATAATTAAAAGTTTCTTAGTAAAAAAAACATTTTTTTATGTGCAACAAAATCTTATTAAGTTGTCAGGCTTTCGTTAATTGATAAATGATAAAGATAGAAATATTAAAATTAATTTCTAATTTTAAACTTTTAAATAAATAAGCGTACCTACTACGTATTTGGCGCAAAAATGTGACGTCACAAAGTTGATAAAAAACTCTTTGTCAACTAGGTAGTCTTTTTTAACAATTTGAAATTGGAATTGAATTTGTTTTGTTGTCAAGTACTAAATTGGGTAGTGTCCTAGGTCAAAAATAAATTAATTCGACGTTTTAATACAATAAAATATTGTAAAATAACTATACTTTTATTCATCGATCGATCGATACACTAAGATTTAGATTTTTTTAAGCTCATTATTCAGAAATAAGTAAGCTATTTGACGCAAAACTGTTATGACGTCATACCTCAGTTTTTCGTACAAATTACATAGAAAAGTATAGTTTTTGACATTTGATAAAAGTATTGAATTTGACTAGTTGGAAACTACCGTATTGCACAGCAGTCTGCATGTTATTACAGGTATGATTTTGAGCGGGAAAAGTATAGACCACTATTTTCTGTTTCTTTTTTCAAGACTGGTAAATAAAAACAAAACGTTTTTAATGTGATACACCTACACTACGATTTTTTCTGATCCATGGAAGCGTTTATAAACACACACAGTACGCCCAGACCCGGAACAACGATTTGTGGATCACACATAGAGTTGTTCCGTACAACAGTCGAGCCCACGACACCACGACATAATTGTTTATGGTTTTTCAATTTGCCATTTACTAGTATTCGTTCTTATTTTGAACAATATACCTACAGGCTCAAAGTCATTAAGTAACTGACGAAAAGTACTTGTACCTACACACTAAATAAATTTTTCTGGTTTCAGGTTTCGAATTGGTTCAAGAACCGACGACAGCGAGACAGGCAAGCAGAACATAAAGACAGGTGAGTCATACATTACATTATTTTAATTAATTACTTACCTGTACGAGTTTGTGAAATACTTAGTCTTAGCACAGAAATACAGGGTACCTACTAGACTTACACCCGGTTTCCGAAAGGCCGATCAATGTTAAAATCTATTTAATCTCTTGTCAAGTCATCTGATTGGTTGACTGAATTATCAACAACCAATCAGATGACATGAGATTAGTTAATTTTAGCGTTGACAAGCCTTTCAGAAACCGGGTGTTAGTAAAACAATATATTCAATATTCAATTGAATAACATTTAATAAAATCACACTTTCGTCAATAATTGATTCTTCGATGAACTTAGTTTATATTCCTAAGTACATATTTCGTAGCTAACAAAAAAAAAGTAAGCCAATTGACGCCAAGAAAAAAAACATGGCGTCACAATCACAACGATCACAACTGACAACACGATTTTGACAATTCGAAAAATAAAACGTATTTTGAATTTAACAGTTGTCAAGTTTCGAATTCCATGTGTGATGGAAAAGTTTTCAGTGTTGTGTATAAGGACAATCAAATTAATTATCAAAAGTCTGTGATACTGGTAGGTTATGTGCCTGCTCTAATTAAGAAGGGTTTGCCATAATCCATGTTTGTTGGCCGGTTTGGAGCCTTATGGAGTTAACCACAAAATAGTAGGGTTAGTGCGAAATGTATTCTGTGTTCTCCGTACGTAGATACTCCGAGCTACGTATGTATGTCATCCTACTTAATCTTTACATACATATAAATATAATTGGAGTGTCTGTATATATTTAAATAACCTTATAAATGCATTCGGTATACACACAAAAATACAACTTTTAATATCTTTTGTCTATCTGTCTGTTTGTTCGGACTATTCTTTGGAATGGCTTAACCGAATTTGATCGGAATTTATTCGTAGATAGCGTATGTAATAAGTAGTTAGTAACTTAGGATACTTTCAGTTTAGAAGAAATCTTTTATTTTCATATCGAAAGAATATAGTATTCCAGCGTGATTTAAGGATAATTAAATTTAACGCGGTCGACGTCACGGCTAGGTTCCTTAGAACGAAATAAACGTGAAAATTTGTAAAAACATATGTACTTATAGATTAATGTTTGTCACTCTTTTTCGTAAAAACTGCTGAACGGATTCGAATGAAATTTGACACAGAGATAGATTTTTATCTGGAATAATACATAGGCTACGTCTTGGAGGCGAAGCTGCTCGTAGAAGCTAGTGCAGTTATAATTTCAGCTGACTTAAATTATTTTAATTGTTATTATAACATTTAGCTGACAATGTAATATTTGTAACACATAACATTACAATATCGAGTTACAACATTCACTGCTAATGAGGTTTTAGTGTTTGTAGGTTGAACGCGTGTATAACCAGGAAGGACTGTAGGTTCGATTTCTGGGTCGAGTCAAATGTGTTGATCTGTTTGTTACTTAGGATTTTTGTGGATTTTGCAGTTGGATTGTCTATACTAGTATTATAAAGAGGTAGGTAAATTTTGTAATTTGTAAGTTTGTATGTAGGGGTAATCTTTGGAACCGCTGGTCGGATTGCCAAAATTCTTCCACTGATACTGATAGATAGCTACAATGTTCCTGAGTGCTATAGGCTATAAAACATCACGCTACGAGCAAATGGGGCCGAGCAGCGGGTGAAACCGCGCGAAAGTAGCTAGTTGTTTATATAAAGGTTTAAATTACATAGAAAATAATTTCTTGTTCAAGGTATCTTGTGTAGGTAGTTAAGATTTAATCCCAAAACTAGATGTGGGGTTCATTATCAGATACCTAAAGATATTTTTGTTTATAGCCATCCCCTGCTTTGCACGGGTCCAACGTGTCGCTCTTTCTTTTTGTCCTTTTTTCTAACGTAGTAATAAATCGTAAAATATTTTCTCTTGCCACAAATGGAGTGTGAAACTCCTACTGGCTAAAAACCAACCGGTATCATCTCCTTACAAAGCACATTATCATTCTGGAACCTCATCATCATCATCATCAGCCTATAAGTGCCCACTGCTGAGCAAAGGCCTCTTCTCATACGAAGAATGGTTAATATAATTCTCATACGGGTTGGCAATTTTAAACTTCTAATTAGAAATTAAAAGTCCAGGTTTCCTCACGATGTTTACCTTCACCGTTCGTCAGTGGTGTCTAAATAATCATAGAAAGTACATATAACTCGGAAATAGTCACATTGGTACTTGCCAGGTTTCGAACCCACACCCTCATGCATGAGAAGCGGGCTGCTTAACCTCCGGGCCACCACGACACCTGCAACTGGCACCTGCAACCCCGGAACCTTTGGAGACCTTGGATTCTTTCTTTTGGAGACCTTTCGTTTAAAACCTTGTTGCCTACCTTCTTTTACGCTTGAAGAGAAGTCCGTGGACATCTGGCTAGATGAGTGAACCAAATACGAGTAAAAGTGTATTGAATCTAAATAGAAAATCAAAAGATATCATTCAACACAGAAACAAAGATATTATCTAATGTTATCTATAAAAATCATAATATAACAAAATAGAATATAATATGAAATGGCTATCGACGTGTAAGATCTGTTATCTTAATCTCGGCAGCTGCGCCGGCGCATTGATGCAGAAATCCCGGGTTTGACCGCCCAAATACAAGTTTGTTAAGCGTTAATCGGGTTTGAGAATGGGAATTTTAAGATAAAAGATTTTGTTCCAAACGTGTCATAGACAGAAGAGACTGCACGTTTGGTGCGGTGGCTGGGCAACTGGCTGCCGTGCAACATGTCGCGCGATTGATTCCCGCATGGAACCACTCTGTCTGATGGTAAGCAATCAGCGCTGCCCGTGGAGTTGCGGGTGCGTTGCCAAACTTTATTTAGGATTTAGGGATTGGGGACGGATTGGTGGATGGGAAGGTTTGGGCCTCCGGTAACCTAAATCACAGCGCGAAACACAACGCTTTGGTTGTTTTACGCCGGTTTTCTGTGAGGCCGTTGTATCTGAATTATTCAGAATACAGGTTTGTTCTGTATTCTGAGGAATACACTCATAATAAACAGATTTTACTAAAAAAAACTCAATGTGCCCGAAACTAAAATGAAATGAGTAGATTCGATTACCAAAATCAATATTAAAACAAATAAAACCTATAACATAGCCGGTAAATAATAAATTCGTAGCGTTTTTTTTTTTTGTAATATACCTAACCAAAAAAAAAAATACCGTTACTGTCATTATTGAGTTTCAAATTTCATAATGTGTCATGTTTTTAACAAAATGGGTCATTGACATGTCAATGATATGACAGTAACAATATTTTTTTTTTATTTACAATAGTATTGCAACAGATAGGTATTATTAAGTGTGGGAGAGCCATGCTTCGGCACTAATGGGTAGGCTCGACCGGAGTGATACCACGGCCTCACAGAAAACCGGCATGAAACAATTGGGTAGTGTCCTAGGTCAAAAAAAAATTAATTCGACGTTTTAATACAATAAAATATTGAAAAATAACTATACTTTTATTCATCGATCGATCGATACACTAAGTTTTAAATTTTTTTAGCTCATTATTCAGAAATAAGTAAGCTATTTGACGCAAAACTGTTATGACGTCATACCTCAGTTTTTCATACAAATTTCATAGAAAAGTATCGTTTTTGACATTTGGATAAAAGTATTGAATTTGACTAGTTGGAAACTACCGTATTGAAGCGTGTGTCGCGCCGAGTGCGTGAGGTTACCAGAGGCCCATTTATGACCCTGTCCTTCCTCAATGTTCAAATCCTCTATCCTTAATTCCTAATAACCCACGTGAGGTCGGTATTATGTAAATAGGTAATACATATTATTGTAACCTCGATTTTTATTCCAGACTAGCTATTCTCGCGTGGTTTCACCCGCTGCTCAGCTCAATTTGATCGTAGCGTGATGTTTTATAGCCTATACCACTCAGGAAAATTGTAGCTATCTATCAGAGAAAGAATTTTGGCAATCCGACCAGCGGTTCCAAAGATTACCCCCTACATACAAACTTACAAATTTTACCTCTTTAGATAAGAAAATGATATTTTGCTTATAGCATAAAACATTCACCATTATTATTTTTTCCTTTACTAAATTATACGGCATCACTCAAAAACATCGCAGAACTTGTTCGACTCACGACGATATTTTTCCAAATTATTCTTCCACAAAGCCAACAGTACACAAATACACAGACATAGGTATAATAACACACAAAGAGGGGAGTACACGTTTGCCTATCCATTTGGCTGGCTTCGAACGAAACCTGATACCCAACATAGTACATCCCTGGAAATTACGCCCTTTACAGCACAAAATCAACCTTATTCCTTCAGTAACAAAGTTGTAAATCATATAAATGAACATAAATAGTACATCCAACGGTTACTTTACAATAATTTCCTATTTAGAATATTATCGTTGGAATATTCGAATTTTTGCGTTCGAAATTTTTTAATTGAATATTGTTTATGATTCAACATGGCCGTTGTGTTCTGTCAATTGCGCGTGATTGGCGGTAAAATTAATGTCAGATTTTTTTTTGATTATTATTAATTGGATATTATTTTAGTTTTAGCTAGTGACAAGGAATGGGCCTAGAATTATATGTAGTAACTCGTATTAGATATTAATCGAATGTTTTAAAATATTTACGATTTTATTAAGTCGTAGGTTTTTCATAGCTCTACCTTGTGGTCCACGCACCGTACTCATTTTCATAAGATCCGTATGAATTTGAGTTTAGTTCATCACTGCGTGAATTCAGTAGGTATTTTCAGTGTTGAAATCATAGATAGTTATAATCTTTAAGTGAAATTTCTTTTTGTCTTTTTTTGTTAATAAATAACAAATCGAAATCGATCTGAACCAACGCATCTTATTCAATGACCTTTAATGACATTTTTCACTTTTGTTATGAGGCTGTGAGATGCGATTTTCATATCTATTACTAGTAGGTACTATAGATTTGAAAGTCT